CCCCCCCCCCCCCCCCCCCCCCACACACACACACACACACTACACAGCTTCTTGTGTACAGTTTGGAGAGGTTCATGGATCCCTTAAAGTTTCAGAACTTTTGTCATTCATACTTCAGTTTGTTTTTGTTTTAGAATCATGGTGCCTAGTTCTGTGCAAAGTTGTATAGTCCCAATAAAAGTGTGAGTCTTTCTTGATTGTGCTTTCCAAATTCAATATTGATGAATTTACTTCTGATGTAGCATTAAGAAGTTATTCTCATAAATTAGAAGATAAAAATAAACTGCATTGGTTCTCTTTCATTACAGTGTCTGTAAGTGTAATCATTACCCTCTTTAGACAGAAAAGAGTTCCTGTACTTCAGGCTCCTTTTTGTTCTGAAATTTTTTGGTTGGTGCTGGGATTTCTTAAAATCTTCAGGATTTCCACCAGGGATAAGTCAGTAAACAAGGTAAAGTCACATATAGAAAAATTGCAAGCCAAAATTGTGTTCTCTTTAAAGATAAGCCAGAAGCATTTAAACACTAATTTGTTGGGGAATTGATTTTCTAAATGAAAGGAAAAGAATGCTTTGCCTTCCTACACTGTGGTTGGGACACAAAACTCCACAACATAAATTAGGTCTAAAACCATTAGAAGGGGGCCATTTAGTTCTGGACATTAAAATGTATAATTTTGGAAGTCCAGAATCTGTCAGAAGAAGAGAATGCACATCTAGTCTGTTTCAGATATTAACCATTGCTTACTAAAGACTACTAACAATCATTTTGGGATGAAAAATACATTAGGAATGTAGTGAACTTTCACTTTTATGGGCTGCATTGTCTAAAACAAAGCATTGCCAACCCTGGCAAGTTATCATCTGTGTGAACATGCGTTTGTGTGTGTGTGGGGGGGGGGGGGTTCAGTTTTAGGATGCCGTCCCCATATTCTGACCTCTTTTCCCCTTTTCTTTAATTTGGTTGGTATTAAGTACCTAAGCTCTTTTCATATGAAAACCCTGGAAGTAAAAGTCACAAACAGCTGTAAAATGGCAAGTAATTTATGAGGTGATAAAAATAAATTAACAAAACCATGCAGCATGCACGTACACAGCCACCTGTTTTATTAAGTAATCAGGTTTTATTGGTCCTTAAAATTGAATTTATGATGAGGCAACAATATATCCTATTATAAAAAAAGAATGTGGAGGTAGATTTTAAGCACAGCAAAACTCAACAATTACCAAACAATTTCTTCATTTAATGCTCCTTAAGACTATACCGTTTAATGGATCAATGGAATAAAATAGAGGACCCAGAAATCAACCCTAAATGCATGAACCAGAAGTGACTTCAGGCATGCTTTTGGCTTGAATGCCCTGCTCTCTGAGTCCACAAGTACCTTGTATAAGAACAAACTTTGAAAATTCATGTTAGAAGATTAAAAATATTACTGGTCTTGGCAATATTAATGGAATATTGAAATCATTACTGCTTTCTACAAAAGAAGACTGATAAGGGCAAATTTGGAGTAATTTATTCCAACTATTTCTGTTTTCCTTCCCTTCTTGAGAAGTAATAACTCTGGACTTTTTTAGAACTCCCGAGGAGCTGAACATCCAGTCTGTTTTGTCTATTTGAAAGACACTACCTCTTACTTTTCAGAGTAATCTGATATAAATCTTGATATAAATTATTTGGTCAAAACCACTATTCTTAAAGTAGGCACTGAATGAAGAAATATGTTCAGGCAAAAGGAAGTCACATTATGAATTGAATTGACATTATACTTTATAGAAGTCAAAAGAAAAATTAATACAAATAACAATTTTCATTTTCATTCTTAAAAATGGTGGCAAAACTATTTTTGTAGGTTTACTACTAAATCATAAGCTCTAAGATAAACTATTATATTTGAAAGTAATTCCTCAGTTATGATTTGATGTGGCCCAGATCAACTCACAGTACATAGGAACAGAGCTCAAATTGTATAAAACACAACACTTTCACTTTCTGAAATATCAGCCTAAAAATTACTTTCAATATGTACTGGTTAAAATCATAGGAAAAATTATCACTTTACCTATAGCAATACATGTAAAAGGAAATAAACATGAAAAAGTTCTTTTTAATCATATTTAATGAATTTTAATATGATCAAAAGCAAAATACATCTCCAAAGGTTGATATTTATAGGTAGTCCAAAGTGTTCTCATAGTCAAATATGATCATCCTTTTACTTGGTGATAGTTTACATCCAATGTCAGAGTTTCAACAATTCTTCCTCTGTGAGACTTAGTATGTAGACATACTGAGGATTTAAAAAATTATCTCTAATATTTTAAAGGTAATTACTTATTTCTTGATACATGGCATGATATAGAAAAGACATGCTAAGACATAATTTCTGAAGGTCTATGTATTAAAATTGAATTGTTTTTACTTTAAATAAATGTATATTGAATACAATATCTTGTTTAGTGAAACCTGTTTGAAATAGATTTTGTCATGAATGTATGTTTTAGTATTGCATTAAACTTGAAATAAATAAAAAAAAAATTATTTGGTCATTTCTGAGGCTTGGAGGAAAGGTAGGGATTAGCTAATATTCGGGTTATGTCTTCCTCAAATAATGATGTGAATCTTTTTTTTTTTTTTTTTTGGGTAAACCAAACATTCTCATGTAATGCAGAGAAGTGCTCCCAATTAGTTTGCACAGAGCCATGGCTAGGAGAACAGTAGAAGGCTTATAGATTCGCCCTCTGTGAATATTTGTCAATATTCATATGGACTCTTTTTTCCTTATTGAGTCTCTTTCAGATATAAGCTGCATGCCTTCCTTCAGACAATCACTTCAATTTACTTAAAATCAGTTTGCTCAATTAATCTTTGCCTCTTACCACACTTCATTTACGTGACTAGCTTTGTTTATAACTTTCTAAGTAAAATACTTCCCTGATGTAAGAAAAAAATGTTGAGGTCATTTCTTTCCAAAAGCACAAATTGATGTTGCAAATAGCCTAAATTCTTGGATGCCGGTTATCCCAGGGAATGACTGCTTGAGAAAAATAGTAAAGTTGACTTTTAGGTGTTCCGAGTCCTATAGGTTTGTTTTACTCTCTGTTTGAAACCAAGAAGATACTTATGGGGTGCCAGATGTATTATAGTCCAATAGAAACCATAAACAAGGTGGTTTGTGTTGATATTTTAGTTATCTGTAGAAACTAAAGGCTGTAATATTAAGATCCGCTGGTTGTCCCAGGCCAGATAAAGAAAGCTAGGACAGCAGTGACAGCACAAAGATGGCTTTCTCATTGCCAGCACTCTACGTTTTGTACCATTCCTTAATGTTTCTGCTGAAATAGTAATGGTAACATTAGAAGAGTCAAGCTCTAAGAATAAAGCATCTTTTGATTTGCCACTTTGCAGGTTTATCATGGACATTAGACTTAAATAATGATGATAAACCTGCAACATCTTAATGTAAAAATTTTGACTTTTAATGTTTGAAAAATGACCGAGCTGCCATCAGAAGCCCCCTGAACTCCTCTGCTGGAATGAGGGGGCTGCCACGGGCATCGATCACACCCCGTCCCCCCTTCGTAGTCCTCTCACCCTATCCCCTTCTCTCCCCCTCCACCCCAACTGCTCCACAACAACATCTTAGAATGTAAAAATAAGTTAATAAGTTTATTTGTAAAGTCTGAAAATGAAAAATAAGTTTGAAAATGGGCTTATCTGGGCCTCTTTTTGCTTTTTTTTTTCTTAAAGTACTTTTTTACTACCTTTTAAATAAACAACATAAACTTTCATTTTTAGGTGATTCTTAAGAAATTATAGATTAGGTTAATAAAAATTTGTACAGCACTTCAATGATTTTGATATCACCTTTTACTGGATATATATTAATTATATTGAGACACTAGTGGTGTTGGACTATTGGCCTGGTGTATTTACACTCACTATAGCATCTACTTAGTACAATTTGGTTCAGTCAATTAGCAAAATATGTGTTGGGCTAGTGTGTGCCCAATAATATGCTAGATGAGATGGGGCAGTGAGGACCTTCCTCAAATGGCAGTTGCAATGTCTATATTGAGACAAGGCAGCCAAAAGAAAAATGTGGCATTGATCCAGCAACACCAATGTAATAGGGGCTCAATAAATATTTGTTAAATGAATTAATTTAGCCTATGAATACACTTGCACACTCCCACTCCTTCATTTGAAGAGGATCATCAACTTCACCACTATCTCGTCATTCTTGGTGATTTCACTATCAAAGCAAATGCTCCTGTCCTTCCCCCTGTCTTCCCACCTCAGCAGCCCAATTATTCAAACCAAAATTTAAGTATGATCTTTTATTTCTTTCTCTCCTTCACACCCCACTTCCAAACCCTGCTGGCTCTAACTCTAAATATAGCCAGAATCTGAATAATTCTCCCATCTCCACTCCCACCACTCTACTACGAACCAC